ATTCAATATGCCACTCTTTGTTACTGATACAGAAGAACGAAGCTGCTCCAATAGTACCGCCTATATATATACCCAGTTTGCGACGGCCCAACTCCGTCCATGCAACCTGGTCCAAATCCACTGGTCTCTAAGTCTGGATCAAACGGATCCTACAGTTCCGAGTTATTCGGTCATCCAGCCGCACAAGGCCAGTCACTACACCTGGGACCATCCACAAGGGCAAGACGTAGTGACGTAGGTTCGCGAACGAAAAGGGGATCCCTAGACTTACCCAAAAATCCGTTCGCAAGCGCAAAAAATGCGTTCGCAAGGAGACTCTCGCATCGCCAAATACTGCACTCCTCGAAACCTCACCCAAGTTCCCACCTCATGCACCGGAACTGGGAGTTGTCCAGGTTCCCGGCCTGAGATCTTTGGCGAACTGCCGAGGGAGCGACGAGCGAGCGATCCGAGCGTCGGCCGCTCGATGCCATGGTGGCTTCTTGGTGGAACATAGGCCATGGTCCTCTGGCTGGGTCTTCAAATCGAAACACTATAGGCCTACAGTGTCTACAGTCTACAGTCTACATCGCCGGACATATTGCTGGAAACATCCACCGTTGACATGGAGATGTGCACGTGAAAAAAGAAACGACCGAAATGATTAACTCTTGGCACTCCGCTCATCTAAGTTCCGCAATTGACCGAGTCTGACCCGTGCTTTTGAAGGTTTTTATATAGATGCAGCACAAATCGGTGGATTTACCCCGCCTGTTATCGTTGTCCCGTACCAAACATCTGTACATACAGGCTCAGGAACATGAACCAGTCTGCTACTAATGCAAAGACTCAACCGCTCTGTCCAAGCAGCTGCAGCATCCTGTAGCAAGTTGGCCACCCGCGGCCGCCAGCGCCAGAGCCGCGCACGACCTAAGTTGGCCAGGCTAAAAGGCCACAGTCCTCTTGAGTCAGTTCACAGCAAATGGCAACAGTCGCCCACATACAACCTTTCTTGGGCATGCATGTAAGTCATCAACAAAACCTGGCTCCCCACTCTGTCCTCTCCCAACCCATCGGATGTCTGTGAGTCTCCCCCCATCGGCTCGAAGCCAACCACGACCGCAGTGTTTTGCGCCATGCCGGTCTGCCGGTCTGCCGCTTTGGCCGTGGCGCATATCGCCCATGAGTCATGGACAGGTGAAAACGAGCTGGGAATCCGCAGGGTGTCACCCCCAACGCTTCAAATCTCGTGATTCTTGGGCAGCCAATGTATGTGTTTCTACTGAATTTGTTGTATCCTTCGAGTGGTATGAATAGAGGGGCATCTACAGTACATCCATGTCACGTCCGTTGGTCGGGGGCCACCCTTTGAGAAGCCGCTTCTAAGACTCGGGAAACCCCAAATGGGAAGGTGCCTTGATACACAGCTGGGGCCCGGCATCAGTCATCAGTTGCACAAGGTGTACTTCTTGCAGATCACCAGACCTTTAAACTGGGGACTAACCCCAGCCTAGCAAAGGACTTCTGTTTTCCAAACAGCATACCGGTACGCAATGGTACACAGGGCTCACTTCTTCTGGATCTCAGGAGCCCTGCTAGCCCCTGCGATTGGCACCAACGATCTCACTTCAAACTGCCACACTTGAAAACGCCCCGTGCGAAAGATGATCGCACATGGGCAGGTGGGGTGCTTGCCTTTTCGATGTAGGAAAGCTGCAGCTCAAGCTCACCCCAAATGACAA